GAGAAATCTGGCATGGCGAGAATCGGGGTAGTGACCATAGCCTGCTTCAGTCAATGGAATGCAGCTTCGGTTGCCGACGTCCATCCAAAACCTCCCTTTTCAGCAAATTTGTCAGTGGTCGCGCTATCATACTGTATCCCTGCACAAATTTCCTGTAGTACCCGGTCACACCCAAAAACCCTCTCATTTCGGTTACCGTAGTGGGTACCGGCCAGTCCACCATAGCTTGAATTTTAGACTTAATCCACTTGTACCCCCTGCGACATCACCACATGACCCAGATACTCCACCTTCTGTACCCCAAACGCGCATTTGGAAGCCTTGACATAATACTGGTGTTTCCGTAAGACCTCGAACACTTCCTGCAAATGTCCCAGGTGGCCTTCCCAAGTCGGGCTATAAACCAGGATATCATCAAAGAAAACCAAGACATATTGTCGTAGGAGCGACCGAAAAATATCGTTCATGGCTGCCTGGAAGATAGATGGGGCATTACACAATCCGAATGGCATTACTAGGTACTCGTAATGACCGTTGTGGGTGCGGAATGCCGTCTTGTGAACATCCTCATCCTGCATCCTGATCTGATGATAGCCGACTCTCAGACCCAGCTTGGTGAAGTAGCTCGACCCATGCAGCTCATCCAACATGTCGTCAACCATCGGTATCGGAAAACGGTCCTTCATCGTAACTGAGTTGAGTGCCCGGTAGTCCGTACAGAATCTCTAGGTCCCATCTTTCTTCTTAACCAGCAAGACTGTTGAAGAGAAAGGGTTGGTACTAGGCCGAATCAGCACAGTAGCAAACATTTCTGCCACCTGCTTCTCGATCTCCTCCTTCCGCGAGTGCCCGTATCGGTAGGGTCTCATATCACGACTTCCACCCCTTCCTTCAGCTGTATCTGGTGATCTACCTCTCGATGCGGTGGTAAGGCAATAAGAGTTCGGAATAGCTCCGGGCACTGCTCAAGTAATTTTTGCAGTTCCCGGTTGATGACGCTGCCTCCCCCCTTGGCAACCGACCAGCACCGCGAGATCGGTGTTCCATCGGTCAAACAGTCCATGCGCGTCACCGGTCCCATGGCCGTGGTCAACCCTGCAACGTCCACTCCTTGTCTCTCCATTTAAAGCACATCGTCAGGCGCGTCTAGTCACTAGTGACCGGTCCCAAACTCTGCAGCCATGGGATCCCTAGGATGATATCAAACCCTCCCAGAGGCAGTACGTATAGATTTGTCGAGGTCTGAAGAACTTGAATCTCCAGGTTCAGGTCCCAATACACCCTTTGGCACCACAACGATGCACCATTGGCCACTGTAACCACAATCGGAGCTGTCGGGCTTGGTTCCTTCTGCAATGTCCTCGCAAACTCCTCGTTTATGAAGTTCAGTGATGCCCCACTGTCGATCAAGGCGATGCCTTGCTGCCCTGCTGCCCCAACGCAGAGCCGCAAGGTTCCCGGCGATGAGCGCCCGGTCACCGAGTGCAGGGACACCATCGGCGCCCTTGTCTCCTCCGTCGTTGCTCCCTCCTGTTCGCGCCGCACTGCCGCAGGTGGCAGCCCGTCGGCCTCCGCCGCTGCTCCTCCTGCCCACGCCGCGTTGCCCTCCTGTCGCAGTAGGCGACGATTTGCCGCAACTGCTCTCTTCGTTGAGCCCATGTCAACTCCGAGGTATTCGTCGAATCCATTGGGGTTTGTGTCCGGCCGATGCAGTCCCTGGCTGAGTTATGACGAACTCGGCTACCGGAACTGACGCTCTGATACCAGATGTAAGAAACAAGAGATTCCGCAAGGGAATTAGGGATTGAGAAGAGAAGAAATTAGGATTGAGAAGATGAATTGGGGAAGAACAAGGGAGAAGAATTTCGGGATTTGGATAGTTTAATTGATTATTGCCTAATCTGAAAAGTAATATTCCCCTCTCTTAAATACTAAACTGAAATAACATAAAATAACCAAACCCGGCCGAACTAGACCTAGCCCGCCCGCAACCCTTGGTTGTTGTTTCTAACACTCGATACGAGATGTAAGTCTGAACGCCATTGCCTAACTGAACGGGGTCGGTGACGGAAAGTCGGAAACTAATAAGTAAGGTTGCGATGAGCAGATCGAGGGTTGTGGGAGTAGCCAGACAAGCTCCTCTGCTGCGGGTCCATCTCCCATCAACGAAGAGAAAAGCAGTATCAAACGAACGACTCACCTAATCAACAAAAGAGAGCCACGAGGAAGAGACGTTCTATTCTAGATCCTGATCTAATTCTCTCCCCAACCAAACAATAGGCATGGGGAAGAAAGGAGAGAAGCTCGATTCCAGATCCTCCCAAACCCTCTCATCTTCGTCGGACGAGAAGAAAGGATGAAGAGGGGTGGGGGTTTTCTCGACAGGTGAAGGAGGGTTGGAACAGATGAAATTAAATAAGGAAGGATAATTTGTTATGTTGTGATATTAAAAGGATACGTCTGTGAAAAACTTTGTATAGAGATACGTATGTTGTGATATTAACCCCAAAATTAACTTTGGCATCCACGGTCTAACAAGTACATTCAGGTTCGTTATAAAACGAAAAGTACATAGTACATACAGGTTTAAACTCTTTGAATGGAACCTCTGAGGCCCAACAATACAATCATCCAAAACAGGAGTACAAACTCAATTTTATAACAATGTATATCTCAACCTTAGCTGCTGCTAGAAGCCAGCTGCGGATCAGATTACCAATTTCATAACATATCACCTGAAATTGTTGCTCGTTTCCTTCAAAGACTCTAGCATTCATTTTTTTCCATATCGTCCAACATAATGGGTGTAAGAAAACATTCGAACACAGCTCCGTCGGGCTGATAGGTTGATGTTGTGGCCACTCCATCATCACTGTTGATATGTCTGTTGACGCGTGCTGTCCGATTCTGGCAAAACTTCTCAGAGTTCTCAATAGTTTCTGAACACATCCGCAACTTAGGAACAAATGGTTCACATCCGGGAGAAGATAGGGTGCCTAACTCCATAGGGGGTTAGCACCATTCTAACCATCATCTAAACCGTTCACCCTTGTTTTAGATCCAACGACTAAAAATATAAAAAGGATAAATTAGTAATAGAAGATACAAATATTAAATTGTAAATTTAATTATTTTACCGCAGAAGCGGGCTGATTTTTTGGGATTGACGGTTTCGATTTATGGATTTGATAGCAGGGTTGTATTTTTCAATTTTTTAGATTTTGAGATCGTGGATGGAAGATGGTTGAACGCAGTCTATCGTCAGCGACGTCTACAAGTCCATCAAAAGGCTACTACTTTCCATACTGAAAATTACTACAACACAAAACATGACTAGTGACAAAACTATTACTACGTAAGTCTAAAAGCACTACTAAACATAGCTACTAACCTTCACTACTACAATTAAAAACACTACTAAACAAAACTGAGCATCACTACTAAGATTAAAAACACTACTATACCTCTGGACACAATCACGAATCAGTATTAACCATCAGAACCAATACGCAAAAAGATCCGAAGTATACTAACACGACGTTGAATAAAGACTACTACATTTGAAGAAACAATACTACTCCCTTTGCACACTACTAATCTTGAAATCACTACTAATCTAGATCAGAACAAAGATTAGGCAAGAAAGAGGTCAGATCTGAAATTCATAACTTGAACCCATCTGGACATCTATAGCTGAAGGCGGCGCAGGCGAGATCTATGCAACACAGCTGCCGCCGACGATGGCGCCGACGGTGGAGCCAAAGGCCACGCCGATGTAGGCGAGGCTGAAGCAGAAGACACCAACGCAAGCAAGGGAGGCTAGGACAACTAGGAATGCGGAGAGAGCGAGGGCAAAGACGTCGGCGATGGCGAGTGATTTTATTGTTTTAATGAGTCGCTCTCTACTAGAGAGAGAGAGAGAGAGAGAGAGAGAGAGAGAGAGAGAGAGAGAGAGAGGAAGAGACGGAAAAAATGGATGAAAGATGGTGAGATTTCTCCCCAAATAACGCACACCAAGGATAGGTTTACATGTTCTTATACCCAAAATGCCCCTTTAATATAATAACCCTTAGATTTTCTAAAATATGAAGCAACGGAGATACCTTAGGTACTTAGGTTATTACGGTGCTAATTTAATGGCCAGTTTGCAGCCCATCCCATTCCTTCACATCCTCTTTTCTGTTCCTACACACCATACACATACTGGGAAGCACCAGTCCCTCATTTTCAGGACATCAAGAGTTTGAAGCCTTTTATGAACACGAAAAACACAGATTTTTAGTGGGATGAGCTGCTGCCAAACAAAGCTGAAGGGCAATCTGGTGATCCAGGGAACTCCTCCTCCACCGGGTGATTGTGTAGCGAGCTGACAGTGAAAGCCTTTGCAAGTTTGATGGTTCAAAAGTTAACTAAAGTTACTGGACTGAAGTATTGAACAGTAGGAATTACCCGACTCTTCTCCATGAGTGGAAGACGAGAAAAATTGCTCAATCGAACGAGTCAATGACTAACGACAGTCGGTAACTATTAGGCCACAGAATTAGGCGAAAATGACCTGACCACCTAACAACGATTGGACGCATTGAAAATGACATTACTAGTTTTCACTACCTTCTCTGCTGACTGCTGAGATGGTCTCAGGAGAAAGAAGAACAAAAACATCAATTGATTGGTGTCTTTTCACTTGATCTATTAACCCCATCATCCAAAACCAGATCTCGACCACCATCGACGATTTTGGACAGAACAATAGCCTGATCAAACATCATTGGATTGTCCTTTCATGCGATTTCCGCATTAAATCAGACTCCATCCACCAGTGCAAAGGAACAACGCTGGAATGCTGAAAGATGGTGGTGCAGCACAGGCAAACATCGGTGATGAATTCTGCCTACCATTTCAGCTGTTCCACACAAGCAACAATAGGAGATTACGAGATGTTCTATACCCAAGGCTGTGTCCGCCAGATAAATAACGAGGCGAGGTTCGTTCATTACCAAATCCCACCTCAAAGTTTATGCCACTAATTATACTTCCTACAAATACATAAACTACAGGACGATAGTTGGTTAATCAAACCTCGTTCAAGTGCCAAGTGACTAAGACATCAGCTGTATCTGATATGACAAGTAAAATTGTCTTATAGTAATGCCCCCCAATCTCTCATAACTTTTACCCCCTGCTGCATCTATATCTCTACATACTCTGGCATATACAGGATGCTACTTACTCGCTGTGGTGTTGAATTTACCCAAAATGTGGAATTCCAAACCCAAAGTAAAGATTTTCTTCTGCGGAGTCCAACTACACCCTCTGGCTGCTGAAGCTTGAGAAGCCAGGGCAGGGAGCCCCGTTGTTTGGAGGAGACTGTGGTGGAAGGCCCTGTTGCTGCTGCTCGGTATGGTTCCTGCTATTGAATCCACTGGGAAATGGTGGCTGCTGCTGTGGTGGAAATAAGGGTGCGAGACCCCTGTGGTAAGGGTTTCCGTTCATAGCTGTCATTTGACTTGCTGTTATCTTCAGGCGCTGCACTTCCTCCCTCAGTGCTTCGTTCAGAGCTGCCATTTTGGGGAAACAAGTGTTATACGATACAAGAATTCCACTCAAGACAAGGAAAATAAAAATAAAAAGGATGCTCTGTAGAATTAGTAGCATAGAGTTAGTTCCCTGCCCGCTGAGATGCTTACCATCTCTAAGGTGTGCTTGTTGTTCCATAGCTTGCAACCGCAGTTTCAATTCTTTGTTTTCGGTAGTCAATCCAGAAGTATCCCTCTGCAAATGAAGAAACTACTACTCAAGCCTTCTACAACTCGCAATCAATAAATTTGTCCATGGATTAGGATATAAAACTAGTTAAATACGATACTGGAAAATAAGTAAAAACCAAAGTTGGGAAAGCCTCCAACAGTTGGGAGCTCAAGCGAAGCACATACTTGGGAGTTTTTGTCAATTAATGTCAAGCCGGTGTGAAAAAAGGGGGGGATAATGAAAGGTTGTAAATGCAAGGCAGGTAAACAATTGAACTATTTGCAAGAAAAGAATACAGAAAAAAGCATGCAACAGTTCAGTGCTCATGAGGCCATTATCATGTCAATTGTGCAACCTATAGTTAAGCAAAACAGTGTCAGACTCTCAGATGACAAAATTCAATCTGATACAAAATCTAGAACAGCATTGAGGTGAAAACAATAGTATTTCCGCTATTGGGACCAGAAAACCTAAAAAAACCTAATACCTACTGGATCGCCTAAAACTGTAATCGTTAGAATTAACCTGTCATTTTCTGATATAGTCGAAGTCACACTATGATCATACAGTTGGTGAAGAGTAAATCCTTAAAGGACTCTGAGCACCAAACAGCATGTAATAACCACCACGAAAATTCCAATTCTATGTGAGATGCAGGTGATGATAGACATAGTCACAGAGGATTTCACCAATAAATATGAAGCAAAACAGAAGATGAAATACAAATTATGCACCCAGGACATCTGTAAAGGCTTTCAACATACCCTAAGTCCGTAATCAACTTAATAAAAAAATGCATCACAGAAAGATACAAGTCTAGAGAACAAGATGCTGAAATAGAGATGTCCAAGCAGCATCAGCTCGTGCTTATTGACACATCACAGATTCCTCCAACAGAGACGAAGTCCAAACCTTTGGAATAAAACAGACCAATTGGAAGCAAATGGTGCCTAATCTTTAATGAAGACCTCAAAGACATTCCAAGATAAGAACAGCAGCAACATATTGCCTGGTTATGAAAACCTAACAACACAAAGCGAACAAACAAGATGCAGGACTCAACCTACTTCCAGGAGATAGAATTCATTTTTTAACTTATTCTCAAAATCGCTGGCTGAAAAGCATCTTAAGAGAAAGCACCGAATTGCACAAACTGCCAACAGTAACCAGGCAGTAAGCTGCACAAGAAAAAACAGGCAATGCCCTTTCACTCCACATTCCCAGGACCTCAAAGCACCTAGTGCAACAACTATCCTTAATGTATACCATCCGATTCATCCACGTTAACCTATCCTATGACCATGGTAGCAACATGCTTCAACTTAAAGTGTCAAGAACAGGAAAAGGAAAATCAGTCACCAGAAAGGACCAAACTAGATCATCATATACAGAAACCGCAACCAAAGCTAGTACGTAGAGTTCCACCTTTAGCCAAGAACAGGCCGATTTTGACTAGAAACTCACAAAGAACTTAAGAGCTCAACACATATAGTTCAAAAACACTACTGTTACAGACGCAAAAAAACCAAGCACCACTGAAGCACACAACTTTGTCCAACGTACCTGTAGCAGTGTGACCTGCGCAGAGAGGGTGGTAGCTTCTGTTTGCAGAGTATGAACCTTCCTCTCAAGCTCACTGGTGTACCGGATTTTCCTCTCCTTCGACCTTGCAGCAGATTGCCTATTCGCAAGAATCCTACCCAAACCCAACACTCAGATAGTCAGATTGAAAACAGGAAAATGAAACCCTACATAGTACACAGGCTAAAAATGGAACTGAACCAGGAGAAAGAAGAGAAAAAAAAAGCGCATAAACCTTTTAGCTCTCTTGGGATCAATCAGAGCAAGCTCGGCGAGTCTATCAGGCGCCATGGACTTATTAATACCATCAGCCATAAAAGAAGAATCCCCTTCAAACGACGCCGAACAGCTCGAACCGTCCATGGAGTTGCTATGCCTGTGCTGAACTCTCCTCTCTCCGCCTCCTCCAGTTCCAACCCCCATCCCTTTCCCGCCAAGCTTATCGTCTCCGTAGCCGGAACCCAGTCCGAAACCATCGAAGAAGTCCGAGTCCACGGACAGGCTGCGGAGGTGGTTGATCGGCTTGGCCCTCGAATTGGGCGGCGGTGCGGGGCCGGTCGACGTGGAGTCGTCGGAGAGCGGCGGGGAGTCGAGCGCCATGGGAACGCCGGTGCGCGGCGGAGTTGGAACCGGTAGGTCGAGGGAAGAGAGGTCGAGGTCGGAAGGGTCGAAGAGGAGCAGGTCGTCGAAGCGGAAAGCGGTGTCGGAGTGCGCCCGGCGGTGGTGGTAGCCCCGCTGTGGGGTTTCCGGCATCTGCTCTATGTCCAACGGCCTCTTCCCGCCGTACTTGGCGGGATCCATTACGGATGTTCACGGCGGCGGGCGGACGGTGGTTTGTAGTAGTTGGGGGGATTTTCCTGAGCTTCTGGAAGTTCAGCAAGTAAAAGACTAATTTTTTGTTTGTGTTCCTTGTTTTGGGGCTAGTGGAAGGGCTAAAGCGGCTTATTAATATTATAGTCTCGAAGACTGTGATTGCGTTGGTAAAAGTATCCAAAATCATAATAATTTGATATTTATACAAAATGATAGACGTAGCTCTTATTCTTGTCAAAATGGTAGTGCAGTAACAAAATGACCATCTCTAATATGGCTATGGTGCTAACATCACATTTGAAATTAGCACATGCTATAAGGGTCAGGATTTAGACACAGTTGTTCAAGTTTATATAGACGGCTAGGATTCGTTGGTTTTGGGAAGGGTTTGGGTAAAGGAAAGGGGAGCTCAGCTCAATCACCAAACAAATCAAATCAAGCTTGTAAAACTAGTTTATAACGTAATGCCGGTTTGGCAAGTGATATGGTCTGGTCGATGATTCAACCGATTTATACCAGTTCTTGCCGATTTTAACAAAACATGTAGAACAATGAGAAATCATTAACACTAAATGACTTTCGGTGTATATATGACATATTTAAAGACAATTTCTCTAATATAGACAATCTATATTTAAATAAAATAGACATGAAAAATTCTCACATTTAAATACAAATTTTTTTACTTGAATCCAACAAATAACATAAACATCTAAACATTCATATTTGAATCCAACCAATAACATCAACATTTAACTTTCAAATTCAAGAAACAAATTACTTTTTTTTTTAAATTAAAATCATCAAAAGAGCGTCATTTTGTTTAAAGGTCAGAAATAGGTCATACTGAATAGTTTTAACCGGTACCGATTGAACTCGATTATACCGGAAGGTAGAGATGGCAATGGGGCGGGTTTGGGGCGGGTTTGCTTAAACCATCCCCATACCCATCTTCAAATACCCAAACCCATACCCGCCCCATACCCATGCGGGGAATGTTTTGAAAACCCATCCCCATACCCGTGGGTTTCGGGTACCCATGGGTAATACCCATACCCGTACATCCAACATATGTATTAGAGTTAAAACTTACAGGAAAAGTTCTAATTATAACTCTAAACGAACATATTATATCATGAAGTCAACAAAACACGGTCATTTTTTTAATTTGGTTCAAAGATTATGATCCTAAAATATCCATTAATACATAATATAGAGTATAATATTTTTCAAATTATTATGTTCTAACTCTAATACATCTACTAAATAATAATTAACTAACGTAATCTTGTTGACAAGGGGAAAAGTGAAAGAGTGAAATGAGAATTGAGAGAAATGAATTAGATTTTGATTAAGGTGGTCACTCAATTGCATTTCTACTATTTATTTTCTCAATTTATCCTCATCATCATTGATAGATTATAATTTGATGCACATATTTTTTTTATATATGAAGAAATTATTTTAGTGGGGCGGGTATGGGGATGGGTATGGGGCGGGGGAGGCTAAAACCATACCCGCCCCATACCCATCAAACTTTTTGCGGGTTTTACCCATACCCGCCCCCGACTCAGTCAACGCGGGGAAACTTTTTGCGGGTTTTACCCATACCCGCCCCATACCCGGTCAAAGCGGGGATTCCCCGCGTTGACTGAGTCGGGGGCGGTCGGATACCCGCGGTCATGGGTTTGATTGCCATCCCTACCGAAAGGCATGCCAAAGGCATGGCATTTATGAATCAAATTCTTTTGTGATTCCCTCCGTTAAACTTTTCAAACTCTTCTCTTCATAGATCCAACCCCCTCTCTCTCCTTACTCTTTTCTCCTCTCTAAATTTCAAACAAGAAAGAGAAAGAACCTCCCCCTCTCTCATTCCTCTTTTCCTCACCATGGTGAAAGGTCCGAAACTTTATTTCGGAATTGGAAAGAAGATTGAAGGTATTTGTTTCTCTCTCTCTAATGGTTCTTCTCCTTCTCCCAAGAATCCAAGTCAACGCAAGAAATAAGATTATTAGTAAATATTAATCACTTAAGTCGCACATAAAACAACAAAGTAATCACTTGATGAAAATATCGTGTAATATACTCGTCCCTCTTGAACATGTCATATGTCATGCTCGCATCAAGGTGACGTAATCCCCATATTTGGACGAGTTTTGAATTATGAACCAATAGCAAATCATGAAGGAACCAGAAAAGTTTAGGGAGAATTAGAGCGAGGGAATTGAGAAGGAAAAAATGAGAGGAATAGAGGAGCTGCAGAATTTTCGTTTTACAGTAAGGCAGTGAGTTCAAGAGAAGATTTCAAAAATACTAGTCGTTGGATCGTCCTCAAATCTGGAGGACGCTTTCAATACTTTGTGGGATCCGATCGGACCGTTGGGTTCGTTGTTATGATCTCTGATTTGTCTAAAAATGTTGCTAGTCATAAATGGTGCGACGTTGTTTCCTGTAGCTGGGCAGTTCGTTCCGCGGAGGATTCGGGAGAAACTAACTGTTGGATCGATGTTTTGATTGCTGGTTTGTTGGGAAACAATACTGGACATGGAGGGTGAAATCGGTGAAACTCCTTCAATTGGAAACGTACAAAAACGTATCATAAAAGCGTTTTGACCATTTTTACCATTTTAATGTCATTTTTGCATACCAAACGGTTTTAAATAGAAACTGAAGCGTTTTGCCTATGTAGAAACGTGTGTTTTTGCGTTTTAAAATACGTTGATTACTACATTGGTCTGATAGAATTATAAGTGAGGTAGAGCAACAATAGGGATGATACCGATTCGGCCACGTCCAAAGGAGGAGGAGATAAGAAAGTTAGCACGACGGTCAATAGAAGCAAGTGGTCAGATATTATATCTATTAGATCTGTCCCCCCCAGGGAGATTTGGTGGCAGTTGCAAATGTGATTAACGTAGTACCTTCATCAATTGACACTATGGATGTTAGATATAAACTTATGATATATGTCTTGTCTTCATTCCATGTGGCCTCCTTTCTGAATACATGTAGCAATGACATACAAGTTCGTAATGTATTAATTATACGTGACCTTCTTTCTTAATGCAACTTGTAGTAATGAAATAGTGGTTATTTGGATGAATATGCAATTACATGGTATTGAATATGAGTTCTCATATAGATGAATATGAGTTGACCTGTTACCATAGGATAAGATGAAATATGAGCTGAAATGAAACTGAATGAGTTGAATAGACAATAAATTTGAGTTAACTTAATACTGGATATATGACTAGAACTGACAATGAATATGAGTTTACTTGGTATTAGGTCAACTCATATTTCTTCAAATTTCAATCCATTCAATACCCAGTAAGCGAAGCAATCTCGTCGGAGGAGGTGAACTCGCTGTTGCCTTTGCCGTTGTCTATGTGGTCTTCTTCTTCTTCTCCGATAAACTACCTCTGATCACCTTACAAAATCAATATTACTACACAATAAGCAAATGCACTATACGAATAACAGTATTGCTACACGAAAACTAGTACCACTACATGAAAAAGTACCGCTCTACGAAAGTACTACCACTACAAAACCAATACCGGCATCAATACCACTACAACAAGTAAAACAAACACAAAACCAGTACCCAAAATCAATGTCAGAAACATAAAACCAATACTACTAGATGAAAATTTAGTAACTCTACAAAAACAAAAGCAACAAAAAGTACAAAAAAGAAAATACCAATCTAGAAAAACCAGTACCAATAAAAAAAACCCGCTACCAGAGCCTAGATCTGATCGAGGAGGAAAATTGATACACTGAACTGCTTTCGACCTTTTTTAACTGAACTTAGACTGGTGCCTGTGATAACATTAGTTTGTAAGAGGGACATGAAAAAAGAGGGGGCTTGCTATTTGCCGCCAACCAAAAAAAAAAGTATATATATACATCTTTGGTTAAGAAGTTTCACAATCTACAACATATCCAACTTTCAGAGAACGTATTTGTCACATGCATTTTCTTAATTAATAATCATTAGTTAATAATGGTTTGTTAGGGGGATTGTGACGTGAGTTAGAGGGGTAATTAGTGGGGTTATTTGTTAACTAGATTTTAGGTGTTTGTAAGATTATTAGTTTACTTTTCTCTATTTAAAGTGTCGTATGGTTACAGGAAAGGATCATGAATCAAGTATAATCAGAAAAGAGTTTTACACACCTACGTGTTAATTTGGGAGGTTGGCTTTCCTCGAAAAAGTTTAGGGGTTCCGTTCTCGCCTTTAAAGAGAACACTTCTCTTCTACCATTCTATCAATCTTTCCTCCATTCTTATTCTTCATATCCCGATCTTTCACCCTAAATTTTATTCTTCGAAAAGGGCACGTAACATTTGGTATCAGAGCCGGTCGATCCTACGACAATGGAGACTTTAAAGGCCCGCATCGAAGCCTTGCTTCAGCAAGATGCGCAAGGGATCGCAAGCTTCAGGCAGGAGATGCGGGAAGGTTTTGCTGCACTCAACGCCAGATTTGATCGGTTGCTACTAGCACGAACAGTGGGGAAAAAACCCAACGGGCAGGTTGTCAATGGCGGAACCGGCGACCCACCGAACCCTAGAATCAATATGAATTACCGGGGATTAATCAAAGAAGAGGTGCATGCGGCCAGCAGAATCCAAACTTTAGCTCCATCGGTTATTCATCACCAGCCTAATGCCGCAAAATTATTGGAATCTCAAGCTTCCATTATCAATCTCAAGTGCATCGATGAAGAGAACCAACATTCATCTCTTGATTTGAGAGTTGGTGCTCGTGATGTCCCTCCAAGTGCTCCTGCCCAAATTATCCCAATTGGGAAAACTAAACTTGAGCAGATGCATCTTCCTCAAGTTTTGGTTCTGAAAGATTCACCCTATCCTCTACCAAAGCCAACAATGAAATCTCCAGAGGGCTCTATAGATGGAGATCGATTGCAGTTTTCAACCTTGCTCACCAGGTTTGCTACAAGAGAAACAAGGGGTGCAATTTATTTCGTGGGGGTCCTTTGCTGACAGAAGCAAAGGTTGGTGAAGGGATCCTAACATCCCAATTATGGTGGCTCGTCTTCTATGTAGATCCAGGCTGAAGAAGACGTGAGAAGTTCATAGCTGATTCTTGTGGGCAAGAATCTTTCGTAGGGGAAAGGAATGTCACATGCATTTTCTTAATTAATAATCATTAGTTAATTATGGTTTGTTAGGGGGATTGTGACGTGAGTTAGAGGGGTAATTAGTGGGGTTATTTGTTAACTAGATTTTAGGTGTCTTACTAGTTTGTAGGATTATTAGTTTACTAGCTTATTACCCGGCCCCGTTGGCCGGATTACTGTATGTTACCCACTTGTGGAATGGGAGAGAAAGCAAGTGAGAGTGAAGGGATTGGGATTCCACTTGATTAAGACCGGCCCACTAATCCGATTCTTCCCGATCCGCCCCAACCTAAAGGGTCAGAAAGAGTCAATAAGAAAATACGAATGGAGAGAATTAGTAATATATCTTGACTCTTCAGAAGTGGGTCAAACAGGATAAAGGTTGGGTGATGGCAATTTTTAGCGCTAAGCAGAGTTCTGGGTTGAATAACTTTACTTAGGCCTAGAAATTGGTGCTGATGCAGACTGCAGTTTTTATCATACCATCATCAATCATCATTGAATTAGTCCTGGGCATCCCTCCCCGTTGTCGGTCTGAATTTTAATGATGGCTTCATTCCTTGCACCAGCCATATCAGCGAGTTGTCATCTCGAGTGGGATTTGCCTATGTACAAATGATACAATTAGAGTATGAAACTGAATTCAAAGAAAAGGAAAAGAGAATTCTATCACATGCCAATAAATACACACATAATAGTTGAAGCTAAGTGAAAGTCATTACTCGCACATCAATTCTCAAAAATTACAGACTAAACAATGGCTAGAATGGCACTGAAACTACCAAGAATCATGGACGAAACAACTTGTCAAATTAAATAATCCTTATACTGAAACTACCTTCTAACTTGAAATAAGACATGATCACAGTTCATAGCACTCTTATCACTATGAATTGGTTGCAGCTCGTCCTTATCACTACCTCCCAAGCTCAATTCAAACAGAATAGACACAGTTATGTAAGATAACCATATCCTTACTGATCATAATTCCTTTCTTCACTCCATTTTTGTCGGAGAAAAGAGTTATCCCCCTCTCATGCATTTCCCTTTCCCCTTCTCTTCTCCCTCTTCTTCACAAACCGATCCCTAAACCAGCAACAACAACACAAAATAGCCTTCGCCTCTGCCATCTCCATCTACTGAACGCGTTGGTGACAAGACAGGACTGCAGAAGCAAAATTTTCTAAAATCAAACTAAATTTTTTGAAGGAGACTCAACCACGAAAAAAGAGTAAAGCAACAATGCTAATAGTTCAGATGGTTGGTTTTGATGTTATACGTTGCTTTTGTTATGGTCTCCAGTATATCAACTGCAACAGAGATGTTTCCTCCAATCATCTTTAGTGCACGATTTAGAAGTAAGTCCTCTTGTTTGTGTCAAACGGAAACATTCATGGGTTCTTAACTCCACTGTTAGTGTAAATGCATCAGCAGCAAAGAAGTTTGACAACACAGCAAGCACCCAGGCAAAATGATACAATGCAGTAGGTGATATGTGTCTCGAAGGTTTTGAGTTACTAAAGTTCATGTTAAAAATAAACATGAATTAAAATGGATTATTCTATTAAGCAAACATCCCCTCTAATCATACAAAGATCAGATATCTAATTCACAAACAATTAAGCCATAAAAAATCATCACACATCCACCACCTCTGATTGCCTATATTTGTTTTTTCGCAAAGTTATGGACTCTTAAGGGTAAAGTTCATGGGTAGTCTGTTTCATAACTCTAGAGAGCACAGTAAGCAGCCACCAACCAGACACAGTGCGGTAGGCGAATATGATTCTCAATTCACAATTTCTCACCACCGGAAGTAAGAACAGACCATAATAAGCGTAGCGTTCATGGGTGGTCTGTTTCATAGCACTACTACACAATTTGTTAAAAAAGAAAGAAAGGTATTTAGCATCACGGCGGAACAACTTTTACAGGCCAACAACGACAACATGCTGCAACCACCAGAACTGGTATCACAACTCATAGGGAAAATCAAAAGATTTACTCTTAAATTAAGTAGTTACAACATCGAGCAATCGTCAAGCACATACACCATCACAAAAGTCACAGAACCTGATTCACAAAGCATTCAAACATTTGAGGACATTTCTTCAAAGATACAACTTATATGTCTTTTTTCCAAGCCATTTCCATCAACATGCTAATAAATTTGCAATGCATAAAACAAATGGGCCAAAACTTGAAATTCAACCTGTTTGACGACCCATGCCAAATTCTAATTATTCTTTACTTTTAAATTTTCTATTTGAAAATAAAAAATAGTGAAAGAAAAAAGACGACTACAATTCGCCATTTGCACATCACTTATTCGGGAATAAAACCATATAAATTCAAAAGGAACTGAAAATGTTGAGGATCGTTTTAATGTTTAAAATTACCAAATAGATTTTTATGTTTAGTTTTTTACTAACAAATACCAAACGATTCCCTATAAAATACACTATAATTTGATCATTATGATGTCAAATAATTATAAAATATATATTTGAAATGATAAAAATTGGACTAATTGGGTTGATCGAGGTTGAAATATTGAATAACTTTAAAATATATTATATTTTAGCCACTAAGATATAAAATAATAGCATAATATATATTATGCCAGAGAAAATAGCTTGTTTTAGAATGGCAAACCCATGATGTTCATTTGTTTTACTTGATGACCAAATCCCATGTAGGTCAGGCCCATTCAACTCTTTTATTTTATGGTTAGCGGTTAGCCCATTAGATACCATGCATTAGTCTATTGTTAAATTTTTTATTTTTAACAATAAAAAGGAGTATTATTTTTGCCTTTTCATATATATTTTATCACCACGGATAAATAAAAGGGTATAAAGAAAAAAATTGACACTCCTGGACTCGTTTAAATCCGCATGTGTACGGTAAGTTGGCCCGTTCCACAGAGGAAAGAGAAAAAAATTGACACTCCCTATTCTACTCTTCCTACAAACGCTCATGGAACATGGAATTTGAAATGGGGGAAGAGTTTTTTCCACCCTGCTATTATATGTTTTTAATTTAAAAGGATACAACAAATGTACTTAGTGTGATTGGTTATGATCCTTGCTTTTCTTTAAAATGGTCGTGGTTCAAATCCTAGTACATATCTTTTTAATGAATAAAAAAAAGTAATTGTGAAGACCAAAATGTCCTTCCTGTGGTTCAAATCCTAGTACATATCTTTTTAATGAATAAAAAAAAGTAATTGTGAAGACCAAAATGTCCTTCCTACTTTCACTCTCGTTGCAGGAAATTTGAAATGGGGCTCCCGTTTTTCCCTTCGGTGTATTATATTATGTGTAGACTAGCTTATTACCCGGCCCGTTGGCCAGATTACTGTATGTTACCCACTTGTGGAATGGGAGAGAAAGCAAGTGAGAGTTAAGGGATTGGGATTCCACTTGATTAAGACCGGCCCACTAATCTGATTCTTCCCGACCCGCCCCAACCTAAAGGGTCAGAAAGAGTCAATAAGAAAATACGAATGGAGAGAATTAGTAATATATCTTGACTCTTCAAAAGTGGGTCAAACAGGATAAAGGTTGGGTGAGGGCAATTTTTAGCGCTAAGCAGAGTTCTGGGTTGAATAACTTTACTTAGGCCTAGAAATTGGTGCTGATGCAGACTGCAGTTTTTATCATACCATCATCAATCATCATTGAATTAGTCCTGGGCATCCCTCCCCGTTGTCGGTCTGAATTTTAATGATGGCTTCATTCCTTGCACCAGCCATATCAGCGAGTTCTCTATTTAAAGTGTCAGATGGTTACAGGATCATGAATCAAGTATAATCAGAAAAGGGTTTTACACACCTATGTGTTAATTTGGGAGGTTGGCTTTCCTCGAAAAAGGTTAGGGGTTCCGTTTTCGCCTTTAAAGAGAACACTTCTCTTCTACCATTCTATCAATCTTTCCTCCATTCTTATTCTTCATATCCCGATCTTTCACCCTAAATTTTATTCTCCGAAAAGGGCACGTAACAGTATTAAATCAGAAAAATTCAACGCTCGCCGGAAAATCATCGGGAAAGCCTATCCTCGACATATACTGCATACACGCATCCATGAATCATCACTAAGCTGGTGCGTAAATTTTTTGTAGTTTCGAACAATTTTTCCGACGATTTGAAACGAACAGATGGTGGGCCGAAAAACAAAATTTTGGGCATCCTTGAACAAAATTTCCGGCGGCCGGAACCTGGCCGGGCCGAAAAATTCCGGCGGCCGGAACCAGGCTGGGCCGGCGGAAATTGGTGGTCGGAGCCAGGCTGAGCGACAAAATATTTTCGGCTCAGCCTGGCTCCGGCCACCGGAATTTTTCGGCCCGGCCAAGTTCCAGCCGCCGGAATTTTCGGCCCACCGTCTGCTTTTGGAATTTTTTGGAAAATTCGATTTTAGGAGTTGAATTTAGAGTTTAGGAGTTGAATTTAGCGTTTAAGAGTTGAATTTAGCGTGTAAGAATTGAATTTAGAGTTTAGGAGTTGAATTTAGCGGTTAAGACTTGAAATTAGCATTTAGGTTCACAGGAATATTGATGTGTTATATTGTAATTGTAGGAAAAATGTCAGAGTGGTTACCGGCCGATCATGATTACACACAGGAATTTGAGAATGAGATCCATTATGCAAGTGTGAAGTTAGCTGAGTTAGCTGCAAAAGCAATCGCTCAGGAGTGTGGGTTCTTTATTGTTAGAGGAGCATGGAAACCGAATACTGTTGGACTACATCCTGTTACTACCCTCTGTATGTATTGCGACAGAAGTAGTAGGATCGTTAAGTCTTATAAACCAGACTCTACGAAGGAGACGCGTGGGAATATTAGTTCGAAGGATACTGATTGA